CAGATTAAACATAGTGGTGGTATCTTTTTGGCTGATATTTCGCACAATTAGCCAGCTTTCGTTCGTACTATCATTTGAGCTTCCGTTTAACTGCCACTGCTTTGTTTCTATTCTTGGTGTACTGCATCCAGGATCTGTGGCTGCCCGTTGGTCTATCGATGTGCCAGCCCCTGCATAAGCTGTATCGCTCTCTATATCGCTGGGCTCCACCAAAGTGGTTCGTTTTTTGCTGCCCTGGGTTTTATGGGAGGGAATTCATCCTGCAGGAGCAAACTGTTGGTCTCGATCAATCTCCAATGGTGTTCTATAGTGGCGTTTTCCAGACTAGGGACCCACACCAGCTCCGCAGTTCGAGCCTATACCTTTGTCGCATTTAACGTCCAGTAGTTACTGGACATCCTAACATTACTTCTACGGTGCATTAGCACATCTATGTATATAGCACAGGCTTGTAAACAAGCATGGTGCCAACGCCACAACAATAACAATAATATTATGGGGCAGTTGGGTTGGAATACAGAGCAAAGTGGGAAGACGTTGGAACATTTAAAATAGAATGATAGGTAATTGGGACAACAAATGTTTTTGTTTCACCGTACACCTTTTGATAATTTTTGTGCTTTGCCTACGGGACACGGGATTTCTTCAGATAGACCGTACATTGTTCGCGCCACTGATTTCTATTCTGGTGTATTAGACAAATTTCTGTGGTAATTACGTGGTCGCTTTTACACAGCGGTGGATGAAAGGTAATACTAGTCAAATTCCTCTCTCACGTCTTAAGTATCAGGTCTAGTAGAGATGCCTATCTCCCTCTCTGTATCTAGTGCACTCTGGGACATGCTATTGCAAGACCCTCAAGTACATCCACTCTAGGAGTGCGCTCTCCAGTGTTCCCGTTTGCGCCCGCTCAACATCCTAGTCTATTTTGGGAAATTGAAATCTCTCACTATACAAGCGCCTTGTGAGTGCCCATATATGCTCTTGAGGGCGCTTAGGAGTTTTTGGTCCTCCTTGGGTGTGCATTCAGGCTTCTGTAGACTCCCACTATGCTAACCCTCTTTACAATTACAACCAATGTGATTGAGCAAAACTGTACGTTCCGAGTACACTCTGCTTTCCTGTATTCATGGTGGAGTATGCCTCCACCCCCCAGTGTACCCCATTTCCTGTCCTGTCTGTGGATTTTGAACCGACTTAAGGCTGGTTTGGATACGTAGTCGTCCTGGTTTAACCATGTTTCAGACAGGAAAATTACCTCGGCCTTCGTTCCCGCAGTCACTTTGGCCAACTCTGCTCGTTTGTTTCTAATAATACATGCATTGGCGTGCAATGTTACCAATGTTTCCATCGCCCCTAGAGATTGCTTTTAGTTTACTCCGATTTTCTTCTCGAGCGTAACATCGGAGTAGACAAGCTGTATTTTGGCTGGGTTAGATTACCAGCGGCTACTGCGACCACCGTTTCCTCTAGCTAGGGCAATTTGGAAATGTAAGCTGGTCTCGGTAATGACTTAATCTGTTCTGAAGTGGTTTAATTTGATTCCATTTGCCTATCATTCCCTAACGTGAAGTCCTCCAAGATATCTTCAGTTATTACCAAATTTGGGTTTGCTAAGATCCGTGGTACCCTGATCAGTTGCCTTAGCGGAGCCCTAGTTCGCTCGCCTCTTGTCTTGTTGGCGGTCTTCTATTCATTACCCGTGCTTCAGGTTCATCAGGGACGATCTTGAACCGCCATTTTGTGGCACTCCACACGAAGTCTTCTCGGGATAGTAGCGGATTATTTTCTAGTTGTTTGTCANAAATTCCTGTGATACTTTCGGGGGTGGTGCTTTACACCTTTCAACCCGGTGCACTCTCCTACTTGCTGTTTGGCAGAGCTCCGGCTAATCTAATTATGTCACAGACTCTACACCTGTCCATTTCCTTTCGGACTTTTGATTCTCTAATATTCGGCTTCTCTTCTGAAAAAGAAAGGCCTGAGTCAATTTTAGTTCAGTTCACTTTCGTTTACCTTATACATGACAGGAACTGACCACGGCCAATCGAACTTTCAGAGTATCTTCGTCGGTATACACAAATTCGGTACCCACCGCTGTATGGAATGTTTTGTTAATTTTTCTGCAATAATAGGTCTCACCTGATCGACTGGAGACGTTAAGGTATGTGAGTTTTCATTATATTGCCTAATGGGAGAGATGGATTAGTAATCAGTCTAGAAAATATTTGATTCAACCCTCGATCTGGAGCAAACTTTGGACGGTCTGCATTTTTGTTAGGTCTGGTAGTCGGTTCCATGAATTTATCACCCGAATGCCTAAGAATTGTGGCCTCGCTTAGATTTTGGATCAAGACTTCCTTATGTTTTTACACTGAATCATTGTTTGCTAATCAAGGTCCTCGTAAAGTGGGTTCTCAGGGAATAAAACCAATAAATCATACATTATTTTGAGTGTCTGCAACAGAACTCGTCGGCATCTTCTCTCCAGAGAGAAAAGCCCCCAATTAGTGGAATCTTTGACCGTAGAACTTTGATCTTCAATCCCTGTTGTCGCAAGCATCTAAACGCTAAGCAGAACGCATCCTTTTTGAATAAGACTGACGATGCCCGTACTTGAGATGAGGTCTGAAAATAGCCTTGTGAAATCATTTCCAGTACTGTGCAACACAGCGTTGACCTCAGTCTGAAGAATTCTCTCAAGGCCT